AGTGAATACATCCAGGAGACAGCTGTGTGTGAGTTTGAAGCTCAATGGAGAGGCCTGAGTTGGAAATATCACTTTTTTTTTTCTAATTCAGCTTCATAGAGGTGTAATTCACATTTAAAAATTCACTAATTTTTACATGTGGTGAGTATTGGTAAATATATATATATATATATATATATTTCATGTAATCACTACCATAATCAAAATACAGAATATTTCCATCAGCCCCAAAAGTCCCCTCCTGCCTTTGCCTTTGGAGATGCCATTTGGAAAGTCATCAGTAAAACCTGGTAATTGAAGCCAGGGCAATGGATGAGGCCACAGGCAGGAGGTAATCAGAATGAGAGTAGCAATAACTTATAGGAGCAGGGAGAGGAAGAAGGCTATGGAACATGCAGAGAGGTATGAAGGGAACCAAGAGGAAAGACAGAGGTTCAATAAAGAGGGTGATAAGTAGAGCAGTAAGTAAACTAAGTTCTCTTAAACACACACACACACACACACACACACACACACACACACAACTGCATTCTATTAGCCAATTAAGACAGTAGAGATCGTAAAGAAGTCAGTTGCAGTAAAGTGATAAAAGTAAAAGATCCTTTGCAGTGGATGGAGGAAGTAAGCAACAAGAGAACCCAAGACAGCAATAACAAGAGGATTTTCTTAAAAGGATGGTGCTGAGATTTCAGCTGGAGGAAAGTGCCAGTGGAATTATGAGAAGCTAGAACCTGGAGTTAGATACCTGGATTCTTAGAGCTTCTTGTCTACCACTTACTAGCTTTGTAATTTTAGGTCTCGATTTATCTGGGCCTGTTTTGTTGTCTGTAAAACAAGGTAGCTTAATTAAATTATCTCCATTGTCCCTACTAGTTCTGAATCTGTGGCACTGTACACGCATCTAGCAAGATGGAGATCAACTGGTAACCCTTGCAAGAGCAACTTCACTGGATTGGTGAGGATGATGTGAATTGAAATGTGAGTAAATATTTCCTCTGAGAAACCTGGGCAGGAAGGATCCTGGAGAAATGCGGAAGGGCACATGCTTCTAATACCATCATGAGACAACATTTTTAGGTGCAGATGGGGCAGCACCTGACCAGAGAGCCAGGCCAGAGTCAATGAACTTCAGAAAAAGATCTAACATTTATTCAACACATAGTAAATGTCAGTAACTCTGCGAGGTTCTTCAAGTGTAGAAAAGCTAGATGGACAGCGTTCTTCATGTGTCACATTATCTCTACCGTTATGGAATCATTGTAGGTTATGTACACATTTCTATCATACTCAACATCGGAGGGGCAAAGGGAAATGTATAGATCCCCCAAAATTTTATCCAAAACAAAGTCTGCATAGCAAATTTACATTGGTAATCACAGGATTTGGGCACAAAGAAAACATTTTTCACAAATTCAGAAAGCATTTTGCAAAAGAAATGGGATTCAAATTCAAATCTTCTGTCTTCAATTCCAAATTTCTCATTTCATGACAGCTACCAACTATTATCCTCCTTTAAATGCCACATGCCTGGTCTTTCATCCATTTCTTGGATTGTATGGGTTTATATAGTACTTACCTTTTCCTACATTGTATCTAAATCCCTTTTAAGTAGGTAATCTAGTCTCGACTAAGTAACATTCTTTTCAGTATGAAAGATGCATCCCAGGGTCTACCAATGCCCTCAGGTGATCGTAAATCACAGTCCAGAAAAATCTAATTTTGTTCTTAACAATATCTATGTATCCAGGTTTCATTGTCTCCCATGGTCTTCTTTTTCTCTTCTGAAGTCTCAATCCTCAGCAAGAAAAAGAGATGACAATACCACCTGCATCACTTCAACTCTTACCTAACATATCTAAGTCAATACACATATACTCATACTTCTTTTTGTGATAAAATTTATTCCCATGTGGCATACTTGTCTTTGGGCAAAGACTTAACATAACTTTTCTTTTACCTATACTGGTGAAAAATTTACACAATCCTCATAATGAGAAGTCACAAAAGCTTAACATGGCTAACAAAAAATGGGAACAAACTAATATTTACTGGATGTATTTTTCTTCCTGATGCATTATTTTTAGGCTTCTTATTGTAAAACTTCACATATGTTTAAATAATGTTCTATGTCAAGTCCAAATAATATGGCCTACTGTACATTTTTAACTGTAGAGAGTATCAGAAGTGGGCATATAAAATTTTATGACAAATAGTATAATGAAAAAATGGTAACAATGATGAAACTATTGAACAAATTAGTAAACTTTTGAGGCACAAAGGGAATATAAAGAGCTGAATCCTAATGCCTGGTACAGGGATCAGCAAACTGCAGCTCTCAAGCCACATGCGGCTCTCTGGGTACGTTCCATCTCAAAAGTTTGCCGACCCCTGGAAGAGCTAATCCTGTCCCTCACAACAATTTAAAAATTATTCAAGAGCCAAAAATATATTTTTACATAATCACCCTTATGTAAATAATATCCTTTAAAAATTTTATAAATGAAACTATGATAGTTTTATTTTCATTTTCAATTTTACTTCAGAGCCTGCGGCTCACGAACTGCAGTTTGCTGACCCCTGGCAGCTCGTTCGTCTCAAAAGTTTGCCGACTCCTGGTCTGGTAAATTCAGGGCATTGCTACAAGCTCTTATTAATCAGGGTCAATAAGGAGGTACCCTTCTGCATAGTCTTTTTGTTACACTCTGTAACTAGGTGGTTTAAAAACACTATTGTAACAATTAAAATTTAAAAGTACTTTAAAAAGTACTTTGTATGTTATTCTATGTGTGTGCAGGATATAGTTAAGCTTTATAATTATCACTATATTTTAGGTATAATTAAAGGCTTGACCATCCCTTAAAGATAAATTCGTCTAATCAACTCTATCCCAATTAACATGTACAGACATGTATGTTAACATGCAACATATTCACATGTCCTCTTTCACTTTTAAAATATCTCACCTCTAATGGTATATAATATAACGTAATCTAGAAATATCAGAAAATATAACCATGAACAGATACGAAGAAACAGACATGTGCCTTTCCATAAATGATCTACTAAGAAAAAAGAGCTTGGTTTTATTAATTTTAAGTGCATACATACCACCACAATCTCTCTCTCTCTCTCTCTCTCTCTCTCTCTCTCTCTCTCTCTCTCTCTCACACACACACACACACACACACACACACACACACACAAATAGAATAATCTTAAATCAATTTTATATACCATTTAAATTAAACATTAATATATAAACTGTTAAACGTAACACATTTTTTTTAAAAAAAGAGCAGTAATTTTCTGCATCCATTTTTTTAAAGAATTCTTGTTCAAAAGCATTTAAAAATAAAACATTTGAGGGCTAATTGGGGAAATTTGAATATGGATTTCTTATAGACAATAGTATGGATTTAATTTCTTTAGCTGATTTAGTTAATTGCCTTAGCTAATGATATTATGGTTAGTTAGGAAAATATCCTTATTCTCAGGAGACATGATATCTGCAACTTACTTTCATGTGGCTCAAGTTAATAAAAAAGATTACAGAGAGAGAAATGTGACAAAAGAACTCATATCTGGTAAATGTGATATGGAGACATAAACACACACACACACACACACACACACACACACACACACATGATCACTGTATTATTCCTTTAACTTTTCTATAAGTTTAATCATTTTTGAAATAAAAAGTTGGAAAAAATAATTCATTTCACATGATTATAACTGCCAATATTTGTTTCAAAAGAAACTATTTGGTCTAACACATGAGCCATGAACTATTATCAAAAGTATGTTCTTCCAGCTATTTTCATCAGTTCAAAAGGATTTCGTTTATTTAAATGAAAAAAAGGTGGATATTTACTTGAGGAGGAGAGAAGGGAAGGCAGCTTCAAAGTTTGAGACTTTGCCTGTTGTACAGATGCCACATTTCATGAGGATGGGCTCTGTGTTAGTCCTCTCAGCTCTCCCCTACCAGCTGGCTGATGGCTATCTGCAGGGAGATGCAGGGGGGCCTCCAAGAGGGTGTGAGTGCAGAGAGAAGATAAGGAAAATGCACTGACCCCCAAACTGAAGGGAGATGGATCTCCCTGGGGTTTTCATTTGGATGGATCTCCAGATAGGGGCAGGTAGGGAAGTGGAAAGAGCTGTTAGAAGCCAGGTGATAAAGCATAAAGAAATTATAATAAAATGAGCCATCCTCCACTCATCTTCAAGGAATGATGACTTATAAAATTGGTTCACTGTAAATTAACTTGTTTCTTGTATTCATTGTAGCAAAGAAAACATGAAACTACTCTTAAGCTAAGAAAAAAAAATTAATTTTGAAACCCAATCCAGAGAGAGAGTGAAGACACAGGAATAGTGCCTTTAAAAAGGAATATTGGGCACGTGGTGCTTAATAAATGTGGGGGATTTTTTTAAATCCTCCTGTGAAAAAGTATTTTTCTCATTACCCAGAAGACAAACTGTGAGTGTTGACAACATGGTATTAAAAAGCCACCCCTACCCAATTTGTTATCCACAAATATATATATATATATATATATATATATATATATATATATATATATATCCTTTTTAATTCACTCTAAGCCAGCATGTTGGCTAATAGTATCTTACTTTTATGTCATTATCTCTGTACCATACACACAAGTCATAGCTGGGGATTTCAACTCGCGGGGAAGCTATGCTGAGATTCCAGATCTCAGTGGTATTGGCATGAGCACTGGTCTCTTCAGTCATAGAGGAGACAATATCCCAAGGAGACTGGAATTAGTCCTATTTTGCACCATTCAAGCCAAAATGCTGCTTATCAAGAAGCAAGTAATTGCTAGCTAATGGCTATGGGGGTGGGGGGAACCACTGCATTTCAATCTAAGCATCTCTTGGCACGTGACGATAAATAAAGCTGAGGAAAGTGTAAACATAAAGCGGGGACAGTTTCTGGAGGAGGTTAAACTGCAAACATTCAAAAGGCAAGTTACCTCATCTGACTGGGAGGGACTGATTCTGGGCATTGGCGAGACTTGCGGAGTTTTCAACTGTGTGCTGTTGCTATCTGGCACGAGCTCTCGGTGGACTGTTTGGATGTGGTTCTGAAGTTCACTTTCAGATTCAAACTTAACGTTGCAGCTGGAGCAGCGAGTCTTCAGTCCCCCTGCCTTGCCTTTACCCTCAATGGCACTCAGACTCTCATTCTGGCCCAAGCCTGGTCTGTTGGTGCCGGGAGGGATGTTGACGCCTGGACTACCGCTCTTACTGAGATTCACGCAGCCAGCACACAGACCATATGGCAGGCCGTTGATGTCAAGCTTCACCAGATCTTGCTTGGAACGGAACTCTTTGAGGCAAGACGCGCACTTGTACAGTTTCTGGACGTGCTGGCCACGCCCTGTGGTCTGGACTGCGGAACCATTTCCTGTCTTTTGCATGTGGAATGTCCCATGGATTTTGAGTTCTAAGGTGGAGGTCACTGTCTGCATGCAGACCACGCAGCGAAATCCCGTCAGGGAATTCCGCAAGTCAGGATGCATTTGGCAATGCTCTAAAAACTCCTCCTCACTCTGGAGAGGCATCTTGCAAATCCGGCAGTTTCCAGTATCCAGACTCTTACTATGCGTGACTTTGTGTTCGGTAAGAGTTAAAAGGGAGGGAAACCGCTCTCCGCAAATAGGGCACATGTAGTGTTTGACAGGGCCTAGGTGAGTCTGCATATGTTCACGGAGGCCATTTTCAGAGAAGAAGGTTCGAGAGCACACGTTACACTTATAATTCCCTTTAATGAGCTCGGCTTTCTTCTTCACGATGGCACTCTCTCCGGGTCTGATGTTGTGATCTCGGAGCTGATGATTCTGCAGCAGCGTTTCCATAGTGTAGGCTGCTCCACAGATGTCACACCCATACATAGGCTCCGAGGTGTCCACATCTTCTTCGCTCCCATCGTGACTATTGTGGGATTCCTGGCTGTTGGTCAACAAGGTCTGCAGCTCTACCTCCTCCTTCTGCACTTGCTCGGAAGCCCCATTTGTTCCACAGTTCGGAGTCTTGGTTTCAAACACACAATGTTTTTCCCGCAAGTGTTTCTCCAGCAAAATGATCGCATGGAAGGCTTTGCTGCAGAACTTGCAGTTGTATTTCTTACTGTGGGTGGTGATGTGGCACTGAAGCTCCACCTCAGTGCCAAAAGACTCACCACAGAAAATGCACTTGTGTACTTTCCCTTGATTTTCCAGGTGATTGTGTTTCACATGGAGCTGCAAGTCAGTCTCATTGCGGAAGTCCCAGTTGCAAGAGGTGCACCTGTAGACTTTCTTTTCGTTGCTGTGCTTCACAGCCAAGTGGAGTTGAATGGACACTTTTGAGTCAAAAACTTCTTGGCAGAGGGTGCAGCGGAAGAAGACAAAGGTATGCATGTCCAGCAGGTGTTTCTGAAGGTCATCCACTGATGTGAACTGCTTATCACAACTCTCGCAGATGTAATACGTTGAAGTGATCATAAAATGAATGGTAACGTGCTTCAGCAAGGATTCCTGGTTGGGGAATTCCTTGTTGCACTGAGGACAGGTCAGCTTCGGAAGCACAGTGTCAAGATGAGTTTTTAGGTGAGTCTGAAAGCTGTCTAGGGACGTGTACTTAGCACCACACTGGTTACAGATATATTCTCCGGCCGGACGCGCAGGTGTACCTCCCACTGCCTGCATCATCTTAAGAGATGTTTGCTCTATGGTCACAGGAGATAGGGGGCTCAAGGCCCTGGATTTCTTCCCATTATGAATATAATTCAGGGCCAAGGGAATATTTTTATGATTCTCTTTGATATGTTTGTTCAGTTTAAGAACGCTGTTGAATATTGGAGAATTCGTACAATAGGAACAAGAATAGACTTCTACTACAGGTTCTTTTGGAGTCCCAAGTACTGGAGACCCAAATCGGGAGCCACTGAGGTCACAATGGACCTGTCTTATATGCTCTTCAAGGGAAGAGTCAGTGAGAAACCCCATGTAGCAATGGGGACAAAAGAATGCATTGCTATCCTTTGCTGCAGGGTTCGCAAATCCGTGAGAACATCGGATGTGTTCCTGGAGCGTGTTGAGGTCGTTGACAACTTCAGAGCAGAAGTTGCACTGGTAGACTATGGCAGGCATGGCAGAAACAATCAGACCTGGGTCCTGAGCTTCATGCACTTGCTTAAGATGTTCATTTAGGTTATAGAGTGAGGGCAATACCTCCAAGCAATACTGACAAATATGGGCCTGTTCTGGCTTATCTAAATGCATAGTTTTCAAGTGAATCTGCAGAACCGCTAGACTCGAAAATAGCTGCTTGTTGCAGTAAATACAGCTGTAGGTAACTTTTGCTTGTTTACTTGAGGCAACAGTCATGTCAGGGGTTTGCTGAGCAGCCCGCTTCCTCCCTCGACTCTTTGGGATTGGTGGGGCAGCTTCCACCATTGTTGAGCTGTCCACTGAAAGGTTGGAATCCGGAGTCGTGCTGGACACGGAGGTGTAGCCCACCGTGACCAGGGAAGGACTGTTACTGTGATTGCACGACTCTGGTTGCTGGTGACTATCCATGTGGCTGTACAATTCCTCCACCGTGTGGAAACTCTCAGAACAAATGCTGCAAGAGTTCTTCTTCTCCCCACCGTGCATCTGCTCCATGTGGTTCATGAGGGAGGTCTCTTCTACAAAAAGCTCATGGCAGTAGACACACTGGAGGGCCGCTCGGTCCTCATTCGGGGAGCATTCGGGGTGGCACTCCGCAATATGCTTCTGGAGGTCTTCTGGGAAGTCAAAGCCTTCCTCGCACTGACTGCACTTCTGAGTGTCCTTCATCTTCCAGTCCTCCATCCTGGAACCCGATTGGGAACCGTCCTTGTTCCTCTCGTGAACCTGCATGTGTCCATGTAAGGAACTAGAGGACAGGAACCCACGGCGACAAATGGCACATTTATATGGCTTGTTGGACGTGTGAGTCTTTAAGTGAATCTTCAAGTGATCACTTCTGGAGAACGCAGCATCACATTCGCTGCAGTGGTACTTCTTGTCCCCTGTGTGGAGTTTGATATGGCGATCTCGGCTCCGCTTGTGTTTGAATAGCCGACTGCAGTAGGTGCATTTGAAAGGCAGTTTGTCGCTGTGGCTCTGCTCATGATGCTTCAGGTAGCTGAGGCGGCTAAACGACTTGTCACAGAACTGGCACGGATACGGGAGTCCAGGGCCACCTTCTTCCTCTCCAAAATCACAACCTTCTCCATGGCTCGGGGAAGTCTGGTCCTTGCTAGAAGGTGAGGAAGCCGGCCAGGAGCAAGTGGGGTCGTCTTCCACATCTACTCCATCTGCAACGAGAAGAGGGTGAACAGTCCACTTTACCAGCTGAGAATTCAAGAACGAGTTCATCGAACCATTTCCACAAGTACTCCCAGTTAGACCATCTAGAGCCATTCAGGGGGGGAAAAAAAAAATGTAGGAGAGACTATTTGAGTTCAACATTTTCCAACCCGAGCCCAAAGCTTTTATTCTACATTTACTTTGTACTGGGTTGTAAAATATAAGACGATATTAAATAGTTCTGTCTAAATTACCCTTTTATTACTTTTTATCATTCTTCCTTAGAAGCCAGGTATATATTACACATTGACAATTTTATTAAAATGTAGATTTTAATATATTTAATGTTTCTTTTGTATTCATTCTAAAATGATTTGCATATTCTGTGAGCATCTGAAGAACCAAATGAAAAGAGGAAATATTACAGGAATGATTTAAAATTAATGCAGTCAACCCAGATGTCTAATATTTAATAAAAAATTCCCTCTGCATTTTGCTTATTTTTATATAAAAAGGAAATTCTGAAGACCAAAATCTTTTATGGGGTTCTTATTGATACAGACCTTATTGCTTTCTGCAAAAAAATATTAAAAAGTAAGCACATGAAAGAAGACAGAAAACACAATAATAATTATGTCTTGTGTAATGAAAGACAACCAGGATTTCTTCAATAACTGAAAGATTCGAATACCATAGGCCAGAAAATGGATTATTAAATGTTAGAAGGGTGCTGCTAGATATTACATGTAGCTAGGATCAGCCAGGATCAAGAAAAAAATGAGAGTTTCACAAGGGCCAGATTGTAATCGTGTATTTTGTTTGGAAAGTTCAAAAGGTGGCCCACCATTTCTTCCTTTTGCAAAAGCTTCAGCAGCATGAACTTCCTTAGCTAAACAGGACCTGCACTTTGAGGTGGGCAGAGACAAAGCAACTTGTGAAAAACTGGAAACAGGAAAAGTGATAAATGATTATGGTAAATGCTGAAAGATTTATGAGCAACGAAGAAAAGACAAACAAGACTGAAAACCAGATATAACCTTAGCAAGCTATCCATAAAGTAACACTACCTTGTATTAGGTGGGTTTTTAACTACGTTCTTATCAAATGTGCACTCTTACTTCTGTTGCTTTCTTAACATCCGCGCAGAAAATAAGATCTGTCAAATCGGTTGCTTTTTTGCCTTTCAAAACAATCTGTCATTCAAGATCAGAAGAAACTGTAAAAGCTTTTCACTCTCCAAAAGAGCAAGCAAGGTTTTTTATAAATGCAGACAAGTAAAGGCCATGGAGCGGAGCTAGTGGGGACAGTGATTGTATTAGAATAATAGGTTCAATTAGAATATTATTATGATATTCAAGAATACTCAAGTAGAATATGATCAAATAAGTGTTTAAATTCTTCAAAGCTAAAGTTCATTAGCAAGCTATATTATCAACATAAAAGTAGAAACTGGCAAGCATTATGTAAACAAATTCCACGTCTGCTTTCTTTAAGTTAACAAGATTTTACTAGATTATCAACCTCTTGCTTATCCACAGGAAACAGATGAGGATCATTCCTTTCCTGCATCTAGAAACTGATGACAACACCATCTCACTTTCAATGCCAGATGGCAACCATCTAACTCTGAGAAAACAACCAAACACCATCATTGGATCCCTGCCCACTGCAACAAAGCTTTGCAACACAAGTTGAAAAATCGCATGATTTTGCAGCCTCATTTATATGAGTTTATAACCCAATACATTTCTAGTATAAGAGAGGGTCCGATAATTGTGGGTGTGACTTAATTTAAAGGTGAGTTATAAAGAACATATGCAGATGAACTCACCACCCAACATACAGAAAAACAATTTTAAAAACTTAAAAATTAAAAAACGCCTCAATGATGATTTTAGCTTTCCCCTTAAAAAACCGTAAATCAATTAAAGATGGTATCCCTAAAATCAGCCAAAGTTTTATAATATTTCCCCTCACTGAAAAAAATATTATTATATATTAAATTTGCTCAACATTCTTGGTAAAAATCTACCACATTTCACATTTACCTTTTGGGTTTACATCCTGTTGTTTCACTTAAAAATATTTTCAAACACATCATCTCATTTTGTATAGTTGGGGAAGACAGTGAATCAGAATTTGTCATGCATGTAGACTGGAAGAAAATAGCTACTGAGCCTGAAAATTTAAGAAGTGAATTTATTATTAAATTGAAGATTGTGTCCAGGCCTGATATATCATTATACAAATGCACCAAGAATTATAAAGCAATAGACCATTATAAATAGTGTGCAATCCCTGACACCATGCTTAAATCAGGCTCTTGTCAGTGGGCCATGCCTGACTATACCTGTTACATAACTGTTCTCTTCAGCTTGTAAATTTCAACTACATGTCAAGTGAGCTGAGGGTTAGGATCAAGTTTTTACTCAAACCAGGATTCAAGTGAGCTGGAAACCTTTTCTCTCTCCCCTGTCCCTATTACTTCGTCTTGGGGAATAAAAAACAGGAGTGATAATCACAGATGATGTGTCTTTGTGACTGAAATCCATGGAAATCACCTACAGAATTCATAAAGCTTAGGCTGGGGAATGGAGTAGGTTGCGCAGAAGTGAAAAGTTTGAACAGGGAATGCTATTTTTAGAAAAATAAATAAAGGTGTTATGAAAGGCTGATTCCTGTTTTAAAATACAAATTGTAAAAAACTCATTTGCTAGTATTATAAATGGATCTGTTCTCCCAGGAACACACAAGGAATTCACTGACAAAATTCCCAGGAGGGTTGGTTCATGCTCAAATGGTATCAAACTCTCCCAAGACTTTTGTGGTGGTGGTGGTGGTGTTGCCAACATTCTCTGAGGTCTACACAAGTCTTTGATTTGTCCCCATTAGCTTAAGCTTTCTTTGTTAAGCTAGCTTTTTAGCAGTCACAATGCAAACTCTGTTTAAATCGCTAATATAGATTTAAACAATTTCAAGTTCTTTTTTTCATATAGAAGAAACTATGGAAGATTCTTTTAACTTCAGTTTCTGAATCAACTTGAGCTTTTTTCCCCTTTGGCACTCACTAAGTGCTACTTACAGGAATATCCTTCAGTGTTATGGCAAGTTTTCTGCATTTCAATGTGAAGTACTTAACATGTCCATGTTAAATTTTAATTTTTGGAATCAGTCACTTCACACTAGCTGACTCTCAGAGAACTATAGCTCTTACAGCTGGAATAAAAAAGAAAAAAAAAAAAACAAAAAAAAACAAAACCTTGCTGGAAACCAGCTCCGTGGCCCGAAAGTCTATTTAAAGATGCAAATGTGTGTGTATAGTTAGTGCAGATGTTTTTCTACAGCAACTGGACTTGCTGAGTTTCACCATTTCCATAAAGCACATTAAAACAAGTGTGTGAACACTCCGAGATGAAAGTCTCAAACACTCCTGAGACTTTCAGTGGAAAGTAGAGCCGCCTGACTTTTCTCCAAGCAGACAGGAATGCCCATGATTCAGCAGCCTGAGTAAATAAAAGAGGTCCTTATTTCCTAATTTCGCTGGCTGGCCACACTGCAGCAGCCTCTGTGCTCCTGCCAAAGGGGATGCAGAACTGGAACTACACCCAGCCGCTGAAGGCCTGTCTTTGTTAGCCAGCCAGGCTTTCCCGACCATCTTCTGGCAACAAAACTGCCATATCCTGCAAGGAAGACCTCCATCTCAGGCTTGATGGTTCTCTAGTCTGTCTAAAAGGACGAAACAACAGATTTTGCCAGGTCGGGGTTGCAGGACAGCTGGAAACTCAGTTAGCGGCACAGCAACACCTGTTCGGTCATATTTATGGGGGAAGTGCTCACTAAGAGAAAAGTGAAGTCATACTAGAAGGAGGTATTTCACAGAAAAAAAAAAGGCATCAGTGCACAGAGCACCTCTGTGACGTGAGCCACTAGCCCCTCATGTGCCAACCTGAGGAGGAGACAGCAAAGGCTGGATGTGATTTTATCCCTGCTGTTTGGGATAGACAGATAAGTACATCCTGGGAAGGGCTACTTGGTGGCCAAATAGGGACCTGAGGGCATTAGTTTATAGCCAGACATTGGGGAAGAGAAACCCTGAGGGTCCCAGCCATTCTTCGGTGTTGGATGTAGCCAATAAAGAAAAAAAGAAGAGAAGATATGCAATGTTTGGGTGATGCTAATGCTTATTTTGTATCAATAGGCACGTCTTAGTGTCAGGTACATGCTTCTTGAGGGCAAAGACCAAGCCTTTAGAACATTGATTCCAATCAATAGTGCAGGCCATCTGAAATGATTAAGGAAACAGTAAAGCCACAAGGTGGATTGAAACACTGTATGTTAAAGAACTTATCTGAATCTCTGAAGTTATGGAACCTTCTGATACTTTCAGTTCTTCATAGGACTGGGCCAGGAGAAACTGGCTGACTGATATCCTTCTGCTACCTGAGCTCATTCACTGTAACAGCAGAGCACTCTCTAAACTGCCCTTCCGGGACTCAGCATCATGTGTGCAAGTGTCACACAGCAAGGTTTCCTTAACAGGGACAGGATTTACATCAGTGGTTACTTTTCAAGTAAGAAAAAGCAGCACAGACACTGACAGGTCTGGTACCTCTGTTTTCAGGAGTGCAATGACTCAGAATGAAAAGGAAAAGTCAAGAGTCTGGAGTTTTATCTCTAGCTTCGTAACTGACTTAGAGAGTGTCGTGGCCGAGTTGTTTAATCTGCCCCTACCTAGGTATTTCACCTGCGATATGAAGGTAATAATTCTTGCTACTTACCCTCTGGGGTGTTACAAAGATTAGTGAATGTTTCTAGGGCACCTATCATTGCTAGAAGAAAAGCTGCATATGTAAACAAAAAGATTTACATGTGTTGCATGTATTCTTTCCACATATAAGTTTCTATGTGTATAATATAAACATATTTTAACATTTTCTTTCCTTTAATGGAACCACTAAAATATGAGCTTTAAGGATTGGCCCAATGGAAATCTAGAGTGCCTGAAGCA